ACCAAAACAAACATTAATACTCCTTTGGGATTTTAACCACTAGCGAGCTCATGATGAAAAAACTACAATTCGGATGCGTAAACTATAACCTTTTGTAACAAACAATGCACACATGACACACATCTTGCTTTTGTCCAGCAAATTTGTTTATGTTTCTCTTGCTTGGGCAGGCATTGGACAAGTAAAATGAAGGAGAAATTTTTTGAGTTGGTGTAGATGAAAATATACTCAACAGGACATTTTTGGAGTTGGTTTAGTTTGGTGTTTCATTTTGTTTCTCCTTCGTGGAAGACGATAAGAGCCAAGCTTTTTTAGGCAACAAAACATATATAAATTACCACACAACCAATGCCCTTTTATTCGAGGTTCCTTTTTGTTAATTCATATACAAAAGTCGATTAATTACCACAAAGCAACTGCAAATCTTAGAGCCCGAAAAAGAGTGTTCAATAATCAAAATAGAGTTGATCTGACACCTGAAACTTGGCAAGCAGCTGAATACAACATCATGAGAGGAAAGGCAGCTGAATCCGAAGCCTTTTCCACTTGCTCCGAGAGAGGGATGGATGCAAGCCTAGTATATGTTCCGGCATGAAATCATGTCGTGTCAATATACCTACCACTGGAGGTCTCTGCAATACATTTTATTTACTGTCAAGAAAGGAAATTTGATACCAACATTGTAGAGAATTGCATATTCAATAACGATTTCCGTTATTTTTCTTTTCAAATCACTAATGAACCAAGAGCTACCGGATACAGAGAACTAAGTGACTGTTCGAGATTTGTTATAGAGATCCCTAAACTCTACCAAAGCCCAAAACCCTCCCACCTAACAAACCAATGATCAAAAGACTCTAATCTGTTATCCTTTCCGCCTATTTATGCTGTTCCTTATTGTTCGGTCGTATGTATCAAGCATCTCATTCACATTCTAGTGCCTATCAGAATCTAATAAGGTGACTGACAACAGCCAGGGAAAAGGAGAGAAACCAAGATCACTTACATTGGAGATTTTTGGTATGACCAGTAAGTGCCTTAGGCCAACCTCACGGAAGAGGAAAAGGGCCTTTGCGAGTGACATCGTCTCCACAACAGTGTAAGGCGAAGCATTAGAGAACGGATGTAAATCCAAATACATATTCAATTCCTCCTCACTTAATTCCACATCTTCTATTCTATCACCCCTCCCAGAACCCTTCTTAGCAAACTCATCAGCCGTGAATTGGGCAAGGGTATCGGAGTCACAAGCCACTGGACTAGACAAGAATATTCGTTTCTTTAGCAATGTCAGAATATGAGCCCGGAGGATTAGGCCGTATAGGACAGGAGCTGCAGCAAATGGTGGCCCATCAACCACAGGGAAGCCGTTATGATTGGTGGTTCTGAGAATGTGTACAATAGTCTCGATTTTCTCGATGCCACTAAAGACTTGAAGTGGACCTGTGACTACATCACCAACTGTAAGCTGCCTCATGTAAGGCTCTGCATGGCTGTAGAGGTAGGGAAACCCTTTTATCTTCATGATGAGGTTATAGATGTTGGCATTGAAAGCATCAGCAACGGTTTTCGAAATCAAAAGGACCAGCATCATCATAGGCAGTAGCAGCAGATTATTGGTTAGCTCAAGTAGAATAACGCACAAGGAAACTGTCATCCTCATTGATCCACCGAGAAAAGATGCAGCACCGAGCACAGCAAATAGACCATGATTAAGATTTGTTTTTGAACCAAGCAGCATCCCTACAACCCGTCCATACGATGCTCCTGTTACGATAACGGGTACAAAGAGACCCGCTGGAGCAACAATGCCATAGCTAAAGATACTGAGGAAGAAACAGGTGAAAAAGAATACTAGAACCGAGAAGTAATGAAACTCAAAGTCAGTGTTTTTGCTGAAAAGATTTTTGATAGCATCATCATTTGTGTTGAATATGAGGCTAGCTAGATCATTGTAGTGACCAGAGGGGCATTGGTACTTCTTAAAGTTACCAGACCGGCCAACCGTAGGGCACTCCTCTGAGGCACTGGCAGGGCAAGGTTGGCATGGTGCAAGAAATGGTAATCCAAAAAGAAGACAGGAAGTGAAAATTGAAATAACACAAGCGAGGAGGATTTTCCAAGTAACGCCTTTCCTGGACAGGAAAAAACATTGACGATCAAGATTTCGGTTTACTTATGTGTATGTGTCTGTACGTCTGTACTATAAATACTGTATATCCAAAAAGATAGCTTACTTATATATGTAGTTGTAAGCTCGAAGAACCTTATCGAGCAGAAAATTGTAAAAGCTTCCAAGAATACCCCCGACAACGCCAAGGAGAAGAACAGGAAGTACATCCCCCAAATGATATGATGCATTTTCTGAATAGACATCAAACATGATCAGCCCTCCTTTGCCAAATAATCCACATTTTCCACTTAAACACACATCGATTAGAGCACGGAGAACAATGGCCACAACAGCTGTTGAAAAGAAGATTCTCCATAAAAGTGCACTCCTCCACCTACAACGAAAAAACCACCATCCTAGCTTAATGAACCATTCACAAAATGACGGTCTGAAGCACAGACACAGTGATGACCAGATGAGACCGAAGAGCCAATCAGTCCAGCAACAATATGGCAACTAAGGAACTTAAGATGAAGAATCCGTTGAGCTCAAGATAACTCGACATACCAAGATGACATCTCCTCAAGCGCGAATAGGACACCACCAACCGGAGCACGAAATGAAGCAGCAATACCAGCAGCTGACCCACAAGTTACAAGATCTCTTCGGTCTCTATCATTATTGAAAAATCTGAGCCATCTCCAAGTCAATCCATATCTTTTGGAGCCGCCCTGACCAAGTATGGATGCAACACAAGCACCAGTGTGCACCATAGGCCCTGCCTTACCTATGAGAAGAGACGCTGACACTCCAGATATATTCCCAATGATCTCCATCCCAAGCAAAAAGAGATCAAATCAGTTTCATCAACGTTCCAAGATAAAAAAACATTCAGCAGGTGAAAATCCTTACCTTAACAACCAAAGTGCGAAGCGAGAATATCTCTGGTGCATCTACACCGTTCAAATAGGCCTTCACTTCCGGTATACCGGAACCCGCCGCAGCAGGCGCAACAAAAGCCGTAATGACCGACGCAAATAGAGTAAGAACGAGGTTGGTGAGAGTGAAAACAAGAAACCCCAAACTGTACCTGTGAAACAATTTCAAAAAATAGCTAATTGCAAGCAACCAGAGAGAAAAATTTGGAAACAAAACAACAAGCAGAGTTACCTTCGGGCCAACATCATGTTAGAAGTAACGACGAATTTGACGCCGGCGAGATTCTCGACGGCGAGATTGTTAGCGAATCCGATAAGACTAACAATAATTCCGATGAAAAAACATAGAAGCCACTTCATGAAGACGTATTGGAAAATCTGTACCTTACTTCGAGCTCTCCAATCCTGCTTGAAGAAATCATTCTCCTCGATCCTAGATAAACAATCAAATTAAGGCTACGAAAGGGAGAAAAAAGGAAGCAACGGTAGGAGTTTTCGTACTCGTAATCGAGGCTTTCGATCGGACAGAGATTGGAGCCGACGATGGCGACCTGAGAAGTAGAGTTGGTGGTAGGGCGGAGAGAGGGAAGCAGCGGAACGGCGACGGAGTCCTCCGTGGTGGAGCTCGGCATCTCGAACGAATTGAGCTTGAAACTCTTCACTGCCTGCGAGAGACTGTTACAGGTTTCCTCAACAAACGGAACATACATACAATACAGATAACAAAAAGGTTTTTTTTGGTCAAAATTGACGAAGACTTTTTATTTTCTTCTGCTCCAGAAAGAAGGTTTTACATGATTGGTTCTTTTTTTTTCTTCTTTTGCTTTTTTGGGAAACTTTTTCCGAATTTTTTCTCCTGCGGTAAGCAGGCCACACTAATAAAGAAAGGGATCATATATATATATAGAAAATATTGTTTTATTAGTTTATTATACAAATGCATTTTAAAACAAACCAAAATTGAAGAAAGTTGTCAAGGCTAGGAGAAGGAAATGAGACGGCACCTTCACTGTTTTTTGAAGCTTTGTTGCGCAAAATGGACTTTGGGATGTTAAACATTCCTGAAATGTACAAGATACACTCATTTCATTAGATCGAGATTGGATCATTCACTTGCAAATTGTGCATGGGTGGCGGCTGCTTTCCCTTTTGGTAGGTCTAAGTCTTCAACAAGGCTCACACAAAGAATTAGCCAGGAATGTTTCGATTTAATCGTATTTTAACAGAAAAATCGTAGATTTCTTTTGGCCATGTCTCTCTATTTTAGCATTTTTAACCACATTCTAGATTTCTTGTTTGAGTTTCCCTTCACTGTCCAGAAGGAATCTCTATGGAAATAAGGACGACGTCTAATCTAACTAACCTATAACATTAGTTGCAATGATCACTATACGCCAAACCAATCTGAAACAACAAAATGATTTGCTAATTTGATTGATCTGATCCATAAACCCCCTTCGTATTTCACGCTATTTTGTCCTTCGTATCCAAATCTAGTCCATACCAAATATAATATTTTTTTATTTCCTTAACACAATCATTTGACAATTGATACGCATTTATCCAAACTAAACAATTAGAGTCTTCCCGCATATGATAAATATATGGTTGTCGATTAACTCGTTTTCAGCTGGATTATTTCCGCTAGTGGCATGTAATTGGCTGAAGTCATATGTGAAATCTTTACGACTTCACCATTGATCAACCAAATGGTCTAAACACTTGTGAGACCATCTCGTCTCGGTGATTTATTGTTTGGCATATTAAATAGAGTTCGTTGAATGTCTTTTGGTATCACCTCCTTAGTAAGATGGTCATTCTCCGAGTTAGAACATTAAAACAACAACCATACTTCTGAACCCTCCGGGCTTCATTGTTAGAAAATCCCTACAACGTTCAACATTCGTGTTTAAATCTTCTTTGCTCTTAAGAATCTCTCATGATGGGTTTCTTACTTCCTTGATTGAATGTCCGGCCTTGGATTGTTTTATAGAAATAAGAATTATTCCAATCTTCCACACTGAGCCAACAGACTTTAGATTTTTGTTCAAGAAAACCCTTAAGGTTTTTTTGCTTCTCCCACAACCTTTTATGAACTTCTTTAGTCCGAGTAGATAGATAGATCACCGAGATGATCCTTACCCAACTCTTTAAACGCCAACTTTAAACTTTTGAATTTCTTGAAAATTTTAAATAGCGAAGAGGTTGAAATGAAAACAGGCTCCGTGTTCTCCAAACAACTCTCCATTGTCGGTATAAATTTTGGAATTCTATGCGAAAATTTGAAGGTTTTCACAAGTATGCACAATAATACAGTATATGGCTAAGTATCGTAGTGTTTCAAGCCATCGTTCTAATATGACCCTCAACATTGTCGTTTCGTTGACTAGGAAGTAAATATTTTTCTAAATATATTCCCTTAAAAATGTATATTACCTTATATACTTCCTCATCTTCCTTTTTTTATTCAGTTTCCTTTACCGTAATCGGATTTTCCATTTTGTGTTTCATTTGTGTTGATGGTCTTGTTTGTGAAGAGACTCACAACACAACTTTTCTGATTAAAGAAAAGAGATTTTGGAAGTTCCGCATTGACTTGATAATCAGCACGAGAGAGACAGAGACGAGAAAACGGTCTCAATGGCGTCACTAACATCCCGTTCGTGTCCGGTTCGTTTGCGTATCAATACCGGTAGATACACAACACTTGGAACACTAAACCAACCTAGACTCGTTTCGTTTCACCGTTCGGCTGCAAAATATCCAGGTATATTTGGAAAAATCCAAGAAAACAAGGAATCGGTACATATTCAAACAGTTCTCACCACCGTTGTTTCTGTGGCTGAAACCGTAATGCTGGCTCGATCGTTAGTCAATAACTATTTGCCTCACGAGGTACGCCACTACATCTCATATGAAATCCACCGCTTGGTTCGCCCCCGCGTCGTTGGTTACTTTTCCACTCAAATGACAATAACTATCCAAGAATTTGAAGGATTTGGTCGCAATGAAGTCTTTGAAGCCGCAGAAGCCTATCTAGCCACCAAGATCTCTTCTTCTAACAAGAAACTCAGAGTGAGTAAGCACGATGAAGAAAACACATACAACGTCACCCTGGAACGTGATGAGGAAGTTGTAATGGTGTCGGTGGATCCTCCGTTGCCACCATGATGAGTCCGACAAGGTCCACAAGAGATTCAAGGACAATCTTACTTGCCATTCATGGTGAATAGAGCCACGTCTATGAAGCAAGAGGAGAAAAAGCTCAAGATCTTCACTCTTGACCCAGATAGGATGTATTTGAGTTACTTTGCTCCTTGGACCTCTGTTTCTCTTGACCATCCCTCCACCTTCGAGACGCTAGCAATGGATCCTGATGTCAAGAGGAGTGTGATGGACGATCTAGACCAGTTCGTTCAGCGGAGAGACTTCTATAAAAGAGTGGGGAAAGCGTGGTAGAGAGGTTACTTGTTGTATGGTCCACCGGGTACAGGGAAATCGAGTTTGATCGCAGCCATGGCGAATCATCTCAAATTTTATATATATGACCTAGAGTTGACTGTGGTTAACAGCAACTCTCAGCTCCGGCGATTGCTGATTGCAACTGCAAATCGTTCGATTCTCGTTGTGGAAGATATCGATTGTTCGATCAAACTGAAAAACAGGACAAGTGATGATGAAGAAAGCGAAAACCCAAGGCACAAAAAAGTTACACTCTCTGGCCTGCTATATTTCATAGATGGTCTATGGTCAAGCTGCGGTGACGAAAGGATCATTGTATTCACAACCAATTACAAAGAGAAACTCGACGCAGCCTTGTTGAGGCCAGGGCGTATGGATATGCACATTCACATGTCGTATTGCACACCGAGTGCTTTTAAGGTTCTTGCTTTGAACTATCTAAATATCAAAGAGCATGAGCTTTTCGGCGAGATAGAGGAAGGTATTAAGAAGACAGAAGTTAGTCCAGCAGATGTGGCTGAACAGCTTATGAGGAATGGCACTGTTGATTATATACTTCAGAGTTTGATTGAGTTCTTAAGACTGAAGAGCGAACAAGATAAAGCCAAACAGGAGAAGCAAGAATTGGAGAAGGAGGAAGAAGATTCGGAGGTCGAAAAGGAATGTTGTATACTAGAATATCTATCTATGTTATTTCTCTGAAAATCATCGCAGATTCTTCTCATCTTTATTTATAAATGTTTATTACTAGTACTGTTCATAACGTTCTATCATTTGTGTTCATATTTCATTTCTCTTTTTTAGGCTTATTTTATTATATAACTAGGGATTGTCCATACTATGCGTGGG